CACTTCAGCAAGACCGCAATTGTTTTTTGCGGGGGATTGATGTTCATTGATTTTCTGCAACCGACGAGAACCATCGAGAACATATTTTTTTGTTTTAATGTATGTCACGGGTTGAAGAAGATATATTTTGTCATCAAAGAACCTCTCAGGGCTCTCAGCTTTGTGAATATTTGGAGGACCATGTCAAGTATGCAGTAATCCAATTGGTCTCCAGCTACTTTGCAACGAATGGTTCGTTTGCACAGCCTAGTGACTCCACGTGTTGTTTTCTCAGGGCAAACACAATGCGACATCCAGGGTATTGTATTGTTTGTTTTTTTTTTTTAATGTTTTTTTGGTGTTGTTCCCGACTTGGTCCAGTTGAACACCTCTGTGGAAAAGATCCCAATGGCCCTTGATGTTCAGACTGATTCGGCTATAAAAGAAGCCCTTCGAAACGCAAACGTCTCTTTTCTCGAAAGGGGACATGTAGATTTGGCAACGACCCATGAAGTGACCCAAAAGGGCTTGGGGCGCTTGGTCCAGACCCACTCCACCGGACTGGACCGCCCCGAGTACCACGTGAGTCGGAGCTGAACCAGGTGCACATGGACGATGGCAGCGGCAAGATGCTTCGGACTTGCCACTTAGAGCTGGTGGGCTTCGCAGGACTGCAGGAACTCAAGTACATACCACACGGGTGGAGGCGAGGCTCCGCTTTTGGCAAAGCGGAGCCGAGGCGGTGTAGCAGAGAAGCGCACCCTCCGACTGGCACGTTTGAACATGTTTGAACATGGATTCTGAAAGATTCCTCCTGAATTCCCAGGGGCCAAGATGTTCCTCTTTTGTTTGAGATGTTTAAGGATCGTGGATGGCAATAAACATTGTTGACAAAGTCGGAGAATTGGCTGAAATCAGGGCTTCCAAGCCTCGTTTTGTTGCTTCATGCACCTTCTTACCCAGATAAACCTGATGCCCTGAAATTGATCTCCCTTTCCTGGGCTTTGAAAGCAATCTACAGGCCGGTATCGGAGCAGTGTCACAGTCCCTTCACAAGACCAAGGACCTTCATGGCCCCCAGATGTGTTTCAATTGCAAACTACTGTAGTCATCAGCCTGGCTCTCCTAACTCCTTTGGCTTGCATACTGTGGACGCCATGTTCGCCCCCAGATGAGAAAGCCTTCATTTCGGCACAGTGGGTGGCGTTTTCTCCATTTCGCCGCGCAGGAGTGGCGGGAACTGCGTTGGGGATCCTGGAGAAACGGAAAACGTTGGGATCCTGTTCTCATTTCCCATACACGGCTAATGGGACTGGCATATAGGCCGCCCCAGAAAGACCCCCCTGGCACCACCCCTGGACTGATCGGCATATATGGCAGCCCCATGGAGTGTCTGGGTTTGGTGGATGGCTTGTGTGCAGCTGGATCGTTGGCTGCGGAGATTGCCCTCGATCAAGTAACCACCAAGGTCACCAGCATTACCCTAGGGCTCCAGTCGTACCTCCTCAGGTTCGGTATGACTGGACCCTCCTGGCATGCACCCCCAAACACTTTCTCAGAAGGTACTTGGAGCCCTAGGGTTATGATAGTCATGTTCAGGTTGCTGTACAAACTGCTTGTATTTTACGTCCAACCTTCCATCTTTGACAGAGGGTAGATGATCGCCGGGATGATGGGTTCCGAAGCACTGAAAGTTGCTATATAAAATTGGGACTTTGAACAGGCAATTAGTGTCATTTGTAGCAGATGAACCAGATGATAGATCAGATGACCTGTCCATTCCTTAATAGCTGGGGTATTCATCCACGTGGATGAAGAGACTGCATCAACAAGCGGATTCGCAGTTGAGACATGGCTGGATGCAGCATGTTGGTCTCTTTTTCACCACTTGCAACCCCTAACATGTTCCGATTCCCCTAGGCCGGAGCTGGAGCGGCACGCTCCAGTCACAGTGCCGACGCCTGCAGCTGCAGAGCCAGCCGCGCCCAAGGTTCCGGAGGTGGGGAGAGGGGGATGAGGAGCTGAGTGGGTACTTGGCTTTCTTTTGGCCCAAAGCAAGGGGCACGTCGGACTAAGCTGGTCGGACTTTTCAGTGGTTTTGATTCCAAAAGCAAGGGCAATAGATGTGGACCAAGTTGTCACCATAATCGGACTCTGAGGGCGTTTGAAAAACGAGTCTGAGGACGATGAACGACCAAAGGATCCCATCGCCCTAAAGAAACACGGGTTTTGAGACCAGCACCCTTGGAACGGACAGTTTCTGGGGTTCTTGATGTAGTTGAATGTTCTTGTAAGTGTTAATATATATATATATATTGTATTATATATATAGTAGAGAGAGATTCATAGAGATGATGATGCTCCAGCATCTTCAAGCATTCTTAGCCTAGCACAACCCTTCTGACCGCCTTCGTCCTTCGCCAGGCGAAGACGGTGCACAGTGCCCTTCCGACCTCAGGGCTCCTCGCCGCCGAAACCCATCTCGTTCGCCGCCGAACCGCGCAGGTTGAGAGACCCGAGACCTACCCAAGTACTACCTCTACACCACCAAGTACCTCCTCAATCCAACAGGTGTTCCATGTTAGTTTGTGGGGGAAATATACCTTATAGGGATCCAAGTACCTCAGAAGGTATGACTGGACCCTCCTGGCACCCACTCCAGTCCCACCTTGGAAACGAGTTAGTACGACTGGAGGCCAAACGGGTACCTGCAGGTCAGTTGTTTTGGTGGGGGATATGTGGGACATACGGGGACACCCCTTTCAAATCCAACAGGTGTTCAAAAGGTTGACCTCTATGTTCCAAAACCAACGGCTCCGGAGGTTCAGCCCTCTTTAACCCTTTAAATTGAACCCATCCTAACCATTCGTAACCCATGTTGAAGCCATCTCGGCCAGCAATCTTTCACCTTCGGTCCAAACGCACAGCCAGAGGGACGACTGGTGACCTGATTTTGGGACTCGGGTGTTACTCTATGGGTGCGACAGTTGACATTTGCCCCCAGTGTTTGCTAGTCTTTCATGTTTTACTGATGATATGTTTGTCAACAGTAGACCATCCATCTTTGCTGCAGCTCTCTTCACTACCTCCATAAAAGGTGATCAAGGCTAGCCACATGGGTTTTGCAATGGTTTGCACTCCAAGTCTTGATTTTTAAGCCAGAAACTCGTGCATTGCGACTGCGCTCTCTTTGTTGGGTGTCTATAGGAATGCCACGACAAGGTAGTCCTCCGAAGATCGCATGTCGACTCACCAAAGTGGTGGATTTTTGGATGAGCTGACATGAACCGTGACGAAGTGTGGGCCTCGTTTTCGGCAATTGTTTGTCGGAACCAGAATGCTTCTGGTTCTATATTACACGTTTTTTGTCTATTGTCCCAGGAAACCTGTAACTCTCGGTAGAAACTCATCATTTTAGCGATGGAAAGGCCCTTTAACCAGGCCCCATCATCATCCACTGGGCCCAGGGTGCCTGGGAAATACAGCACCAGCACCGTTCTTTCCGAAGAGCTGGCCGATGACTCCCGATCAATTGGGTTGGTTTCAGATGTCAATGTGTATATAGGCGATTATAGGCATATTATATATACTACTGACTAGAAACTTAGGACTTGTCGGACATACACGCCAATTCCAAAAGCCTATGTCATCAGGATTGATCCAACATTGGCATTTCCTCTTAAGGCCTATGTCATCAGGCCACAACCATGATATTCATAGAAATATGTATGAGGTATTCAAGGAAGCAGCGCCCGCAAAAACACATAGTCGCACCCTATGTCACCACTGTGTCACCAGGGTGCCAGGCAGTGGTATCTAGCATTATTTAGCTGTTTTTTTTGGCCTTTTTTTGTCGAGGAGGTGTCCACAGGTCCTATGACACCAGGTTTCCCAACCCAGACATTTTTTTTTTGCTCGATATGTCAGGGCACATGACTTAGCCCTGGGGGTAGCCAGATTGGTATGTCACTTGCATCACGTTGGCCTAAGTCATTAGACAGTAATATATATATATATATTCACTATATATATATATTATATTATATATATAATATATATTATACATACATGACGTGTTTGGGATCTAGTACCATCACAACTGGACTCATATCCCACCTGAACTCTCTTTGTTCCCTTTCTGGTGTATGCTGGACGTCCACTCCACAGCCTGCACTGCCCGCTGCCGGTGAGGCTCGCACCGAACATTTCTGTGCGCATTAAGGGGCTCCAGGCCTGGTCTTGGGAGGCTCAACTCATCAGTGAAATCAACCTATGAATGCCTATGATGGGTTTTGGGTTTTTTCGGGTGAAGGACTTTGGGAGCCGGAGAGGATTTCTGAGAAGTGTTGAGAAACTAACAGCATCACAAGCACTTTAGATTGCGAAGAGGGCAAGCTGTTATTCAGTTATTCTTGAGAGTAGCATGTCACAGCATGTCAAGTGACAAGTGGCAGAGGGGCTGGCGGCAGGTGGCGGTCGGAGATGTTTAGCTGCCTCACACAAAGCCAGATGGCCCACGGCAAAACCCAAAGACATGTGTTGGTTCACCGAAAAAACCATTTGACATGTCAAATTGCTTTCAGCATTTGTGAAGCATTTGTCAGATGCAACATGAAGCGGACGAACAAGAACAGGCAACCGAACATGCGACCCACCGGTCGACCCGGTCAAGCGGTTCTGCCGGGTCAAGCCGATCCGAAGCGCTCTTTGATTCCTCAACTTGATTGGAGTGTTGCATGCACATGCTGGTGTGTCAGGCTCAAAGCAACTTGGACAATTCATGGTATAGTCTCTTCGAACATCACAATTGCAGAGCAATCAATCATGTTGCCAGTCTGATCAAGATAGCCTTTGTAGAACTTGGCCGAACAAAATTTGTCCAAATTCAAGTTCCAAACTAAGCATCATTATGCTGATACACTGGACAACACACAAGTTGGTTGAGAAAAGGTCTGGCTTCTCCAATCCAAACCTGGTTCACCAAGGAAGAACATTCAACAGATCTTTGCCGCCTTTTTCTCATGACGATGCTTCTGTGGCTGTTGCTGTGGCTCACGCCATTTGGCGCGACTGCCAAGTGCTATATCGATCCGAACAACACCTTCCCGCGCCAGGTGGGGGTGTGAGATGCATGACGTCGAAAGAATCACTTCTCATAGGTCATAGGCTAGTATATCCAGTCTGATCCAAAACCTGCCAGGTCCTGAAAACCTCATGTTATATGTTTGTAGTGTCTTTTGTATATGACTAACTCCAGTCTTCCATGAGGCCCAACTGACCCGTTGGGGTTGCTTAAAACCGAAAAGTAAATCAATTCAAGCATCATTCTCAGACAAGACCTGGGACTGGACCATGGGGTGGAGCCTCGTGGAACATGTGCACCAAACGCCGTAGGTCGTTCCACCCCGTGAAACGTGGAACAGGGGTCAGACTAGACTCAGCGGCCGCAGCGAAGGGGAAGACCTTGCGGCTGTTGAAGCGCTCCTGGATGACTCATCAGTTGGTCACGGAGGTGGCCGCCATTCTGCTGGAGGAGGCCACGGCTCCGGTTCCGCCCATTGGCTCCGGTTCCGCCCATTGGCTCCATCGTTTGGCCGTTCGTTCGGAATCCAAAACGTTCGACGAATTCGATGCACCGAAGCGGTGACGGGATGATCGTCCTGTCCCCCGATAGGCTATGGGGGTAAGCTGGTGAGAGATTGGTACGAAGAGGGGCAGCCAGAAGGGTAGGGAGTGAGGCCGGAAGAAAAAGTGAGTTGGTTTGGTGATTTGTAAAGAAACTTGGCTGTGTTGGAAACACCATCAGCTGTTGTGTGGGGTTGCCAGCTAGTTTCCAATGTTCAGGCTCTTGTACAATTTGCTGCAGGCTTTCCAGCCAGGTGATGAGTTTGGTACCTTAGCTTATGTATTATGCATACTGTTGTCAGTGGACATATCACTCAATTCACGGCATGACTGAACCGATCATGAGGTCTGCATGACACCTCTAAGTCAGGCCACTCACACTGTCATCTTGAGTGGCCTTCTAGCATTGATGGAAGACATATGCGCCGCCGAGTTGACCCTCAAGAGCATCCTTGTCATCACCACACCAGCCGCCCTTTGGTGCCTCCTAGTCTCGTTTCATCTTGTGTCCCATGTTTTATTATGTTTTATTCTTATTTTAACACCAACTTCCAATGGAGCCTTCTGGCTTGACCAGTGGTTTCAAGCGTCACAAAACGTTCAAGCATCCACCCATTCCTCACCCTCCCTTAGCTCACCCGAACTTGCCTGCTCCAAACTCCGCTCTGCCCGCCAGGCGCTGAACTACGACGTGGAGCTGGTCGAGGCCTCCACTGCGCCCATCGAGGACCTCCAGCGCGTGGCCGCAGGCGACCCGCGACCCGTCCGCGACCGTGCCGCGCGACCCGTCCGCGACCGTGCCGAAGTGCGCCGAGAAGCGAAGTGGACGGGAGAAGCTGAGAGTTCTGGGCGGGTGAGAAGGGGATTTCATTTGGGGAGGATCGTTGAGGACCCACGATGGTTATAGAGAAAGCTTCATCCAGAAGCTGGTGATCCTGCTGTTGGAGACTCTTCATGCATGTTTAACCTTTTAACCGCGCTTAGCCGTGGAGTATCAAGTCCTAGCTTTTGGACTGATACTTTGGACGAACAGTCAACCTAAGAGGATAAAGAGGGTAGTATGATACCTTAAGGATTTAAATACCTCCTTGCAAGGTGTTTGGACCCTCCAAGCCTACATAAAAGTGTTTGCAATCACCATCTGAGAGTATGTGGATCCATAGGGATATGGTTAGTATTAGACTCTATTATTAGACTATACTAGACGACTGTTTGGACTTGAGAACAAGTGTCCATAAGTGGTACTCCAAGTATAGTAGGGAAGTGGTCTCATAAGAAGAATCCAATTTGATTCCATTTCTATCAATACTGTCTCACGTCCCCTTGACCACAACTCATTGAATGGAATTCTGGCTCTCCGCAAGACAATCACGAGAACACGTGGTATCTCCCAAAAGGCTTCTCCAAAAGCAGCATCTCCGTCGCCACGGTCGGAGACGCGTCACGTTGGCAGACGCCACAGCTTGAAAGCTTCGAACGGGCGCTCGGCGAGGTGAGTACGATGCCAACTTCGAACTTTGGCCACAGGAGAGAGGGCACACCTAGCGAAACATCCGGGGGGAGGGGAGAGGATGATGTTCGAAAGCTACGCAGGCGGGGTGGCTGTTGGAGTAGGTGTTAGAGTCCAAGTGGCCCTGAAACCAATTGAATATATAATGGACATCATTGAGATCGTATCGTACCAATATTCATATCATCCCAGCATGTTTGAAAGTTCAGTTAGTCAACAGATTCCACACGATTCCACAACAAACTCTTGTGGAAGACCACAGCGAACCGGAAGCTGATCAAACGGACACAACACCAGATGATGTACAGGAGGCAATTCGCCATGTTGGTGGCATACCCGTGGGACTTGTTTTACTTCAGGCAGTGGCTGAGTGACCTGTTGAGGAAACAGCTTGGTCCAAGTAGCTCTTGATCCGGAGAGTGCCTCTAGACTCGACGACCCAACCAGGCCGCTTGGGTTGGACACGGTTTGGCGCTCAGCGCATAGCCACCAGCTTATCAGGTTGAGCTCCCGAAAGGCATCTCAGAGCGCTTAGACAGACGACATGTTCGTGATCTTGGATTTTACTTGATCAGTTCCATGTGAGGAGCTGCAAAACATTGGCTTGCTCAAGGGGGGTCAATCCATCCAGGAGTGAACGGGCAGACATGGATTCAATCTCCAAGAGCCAGTGCAGCAAGTGTCGATACCCCCAGGCTGTTGGCCATACCTCCAGGTCGGAGTTAGGGGACCCTATAGAGGTCATCCGAGAAACCGCACGCCCGGCAGCTGATCTGGTCAGCTGCAGCTCCGGCAGGGCAAGAGCCGAGAGATCCATCGGTACGTGGATTTGGGCGCTGCCCACATGGCTGGGGGCCATGAAGTCTTTGCACACAGACGCTTGGATTTGGATGTGTAGATGTGTGTATATATATATACATTGGGTAGTACATTGGGTGTGGGTCAAAACCGGGCTAGCTGGGTCGAGGAGAGGACATGAAAAGAATGGTTTGGGGCATCCGGGTTTTGACCCGTGGCCATATACAGCACATACGTACACCTACATCTTCCTTTGTATGTTTTTTGTTTGTCATTTCAAGCAAAACATAGTTGTTGGGGCAGGTGGCGGAAATTTATGTAGTGCAGCACTCTTTGGATTTTGGATAGAATGGGGGAAATCACCAACAGTGACACATCACCCAAAAGAAACACAAGAAACGAATCGGCGCAATTTGTTTGCACACTTTTTTGTTGCGCTACTAAAGGTCCAAAGTGGCAGGCGAACCATGAAGCGGCAGTTTTTCCAGAAAATTACTAAAACTACATCAAGCGACAGAAATTACTGTAGTTCAGTTTCACGAAATGACAACAATTTTACATACCCGGGTGACCCGGGTGTCTTAGGTATTGGATTTGTAAATGGTCGCGCAGGCGCGTCCCTGAGCTTGAAGTTCGCAAAAGCTGTCAAAAAGACATCATATTGTTTTCAGATGTGTTCAGTTGAATTTTCTGATGGAGCCTGATGGACATGACATACACGCATGAATCATGGGCAAGGATTTGTTGACAAAGTTGAGGGGGGTGGAGTGGTCTAGGCTTCATCTGAGATGGCTGAAAATCGGAGGTCAACACCCCTCCACTCACTGGACAGTCCGGTCAGTCCTCATGCAGTTTTCACTGTTCCAAATCCATTGGATTTCATGGTGATTTCTGAGAGCAGATGCTGAGTGGACTTCCCTGTTTCTTGGACTTAGGTGGCATCTTCACAATGAAGTACACCGTGGAAAAGTGGCCGCAGGCGTGTTGTTTCACCATGTATGTATGAGACGGATGGAGACAGATGGAGCGAATAAGGTCGGATTCAATACCAAGTGGTCCAGGTAGGCTTTCTGAACAGATTGCAGTGATCGGATTCTGGCCTTGCTCACCATCATTTATCCATTTGGGTCTGGGTGTGTATACTAATAAGGAGACCCCTGGCGCAATGGGATTTCTCTTCAGGCAATGTGACGTAATAGGTCAACGTGAAACTGATGAAGGCTGGGAATGGAGTTTGGTGGTCATCGGATAGATGTCATGGGTTTTATTGAGCATGGTATGCGAGTCAGCAGTCAGCCCTCGTTCACTGCCTGTCTCGTTCGACTGCCTGCAGCGAGCGTTTTGAGTCTCGGTCTCCCCGGTTTTCACCGAAGTATCGGCTCCTGGTAAGACGACAAGGTGAATAAGGCAACTTCCGCACTGAACAAAATGCAACTTCAACTTCACTGTTTGGAGCTTTTGTGAGCCTTCCCCCCATCCCACGCTCCAAAGAAAAACGTGCAGCGGACGCTCCTCGTGTCAGGCCGCATTTTATCAGCACTTGCGGACGCCCACAGACTTCTATGGGCCTTCGAGCCTCATGGGCGAGGATTGGGACGGGTGAGGAGTGACAGAGTGTGACAGAGTGGCAGATCCTGCAGATATGGGATGCAATGTTTAAGACTGCAATGTTTATATACTAGGAAGCCATGTTATGGGCTGTCCAATTAACTATGTTTTGGATATTTTATCGATTTTATGATATTGTTGGATCACTCTTTGTAGGTTCTGGGAAACAACAGTTGTTGATTGTTGAATGCGTTTGACGTGTTTATAACCATCACTCATACTTGTCCTTACCTATAGAAAAAAGACACTATATAATACTATATATATATATAGAGTTACTGTATACTTGTTTGATGCTCGTGAATGAGATCTCTCATCTAAGATCTCAGATGCGATCTCATTTCTCCACAAGGACCCGAAACAAGCCTTCTCCAAGACACGACACGCTGGTGCTTCCACCGGTGCCTTGGCACCGGTCCAACAACTCCACCGATGGCTGCTCCGCAGCGTCCAGGCCTTGGCGGATCCCAAAGACCTTTGCCCCACAGCGGAGTGGAACTGCAGCAACTTCACCTGGACGCCACCAGCGTGTCGGAGTGGAACTGCCGCCTGTTCCGGACAGGTCCGGGGCGCGACGAGGGTCGTCTGGAATGCTTGGAGGTATCAATGATCAAGCCCTCCTGATGTTCAAGGACATGAATTGAGGACATGTTGTTTTCTGAGCATCTAAAGACCACCTTCAGGTGTCTCCAGTCTTCAATGAATATTTACATGCAGCATATGTTTCCCGGCTTCAATGCAGGTCCAAGGACAGGACTCGGACACAGGTGCCATGTGGCACGGGGAGGCTAGAGTTCATTTGAATACTTCTCAGACCCACACAAGTGGGACGCAGCACAGTTTCGGGTGGTTGGTTCAGGGTGAGTTTGCGAAGGTGGCAAGGGAATCTATAGGAACCGGTAGTTGTTGTGTTGGTGACCTTGGCCATTCTGAGTCATTCCCTGCACCACTCAACCCCGCATTTGACAACATGTTTCAAAACCCGGCAGGTGCTGCATGGCCCAGTGAGCTATACTCAAGGGCAGATCGAGCAGCAGATTGCGAACAATGACTTGGGTTCCTTGGTCCGGGAGGTTCCCCGAGCGAGCGAGCGAAGGTAGCATGCCGATTGCGAGACATTATCCGACCTTCGAAGGGAGCGAGCGAAGGTAGCGAACGGTTGGGCAGTGATTGGGAAGGTGGCTCGGCCCGGCTCCAGTCTTCCTTAAAGCATAGAATTGGGATGAAGATGGATGAATTGGGTCTCAAAATCATTTGCCCCAGACCTTTAAAGGTTACCCACTCAGTGGATAACCTTGAACCTTCTGGGGACACATCGGGACACCCTTCTGGTCGATAGAACAGCTGGAAAACATCCCACACCGCAAACCTCCCATTCCCTACACCTCCAGTCGTACCTCCTCACAGGGGGGTATGACTGGACCCTCCTGGCACCCGGGCCCCCAGTCCCACCTTCTCAGAAGGTACGACTGGACGCCCAGGGATTGTGATGTCCGGCATCTCTCACCCACCCTATGCTAAGCTGGGCTTCTGGGAAGAGTGTCAATTTCATTCCCCCACAACCTAAAAAGAGGTGACCAGGGGTGTCCATCAACATCGGACAAAAACCAGGGTAACTAGGGGACTTTGGTAGAGGACCACCACATATATAGTTGTTTGGGGTCTTATCCAATATTCACCCACATCCCATCACATCCCACCATTTTCTCAGGAAGCGCGGCTTGCCCATGTGATTCCCTGAACTAGGGCGCATCATTCATTCACGCGGGGATCTTTCTGGGTCGTGACCGGCCCGACCTGGCGTAGACGTAGCCAGGGCGGTCGTGCCCGTTTGGTCTGCTGGTGCCATGAGCCAAACACATCTACCTTCGAACAACATCAATTTGGCTCAAGAGGTGGGCCGCACCACAGGGCCGCCTTGACGTGAAACCCTCGCCGTGATGTGAAAAGTGGGCGCGTTCATGAGTGTGATCAATGGCGAAGAGACAGTCTCTTGGAGCTTCTCCAATAGCCATCAAAATCAAGTGATGTCTCATGTTTTCATCGAGTGCCCTTGGAAAGGTGGTGTCGTAATGTCCCTGTTTGTCGTCCCTTTTTGTCCTTACATCTTCGACTGGACCCAGGTGTTGATACCAGCTAAACAAGACAAGCTCTGAAACAACTGATATTGGGAGATCCAATTGTCCTTTTTTTGACCTCGCTTGAGTGATTGAGTCACAGCAACCAGTTGTTTTTGTTTGGCGGCTTTAAGGACTTATCCCCTTTGCCTCTTTGGGTTTGACGCACCAAAAGATGACTAAGAAAATTCGCTCCAAACAGGCTTCCTGGCAACTTGCATTTACTCACTCAACAAAATAACCATGAAAAACACAATGTCTAACATGAAAATAACAATGTCTAGGATGGAAACTTGCTTTTACTCCTGGCAACAATGTCTAACATGAAAAAAAACAAATTGTGCTACACGCTTTGTATTTTTAAGATAAGGTCTTCTGTCTAGGATCGATTGATCCTTTGGAAGTACCCATGACTGGTCTTTTCCCTGGTTTTGGATGCCGATGTTTGCTCTCCACCCCGCAAAAACCCAGTGGCCGGACGATGAGGGCCGGACGGACTCCGAAGTCATGGGAGAAAAACCATGTTTTGGGGTCTGTATACCAGACCGGCAAACACCTGTTGGAAGATGCAGGTACTTTATATTATGATATATACGTATAATAATACATATATATATATATATTATATATTAGTGGTGTCTATTTATGTCTTTATGTATTTACCAGCACAGTCCAAGGGCCCCAAGGGGTCTCCTCGAAAAGGGGGTTGGTATATACCCTGTTGGAGGTCGAACCATTGATGACCTTGGCATAGTCGGGTGCTGGGGTGCTGCCGCACCCTTGCATAGAATATTTGATGTGCCGGGAAGAGTTGGATAACGAAATCCTGACCCCTAGGGCCCCTTCTTCGAAAAAACGCGATGGGCACGATGTTTGAAATCCAGGTGGAGATTGAAGTGACTGGCTTAGACGGAGCAGGCTTTCTTCTCCAAGTGTTTGGCTCTCTCACAGGCTGGGAGTTGTAAACAAGCCTTGTGATCTTGGCATCAAAAGGTAAATATGTGCTACATGTATGTGCAGTGGGTTCAGAGTAGGTGGCACTATCCCCCAAAGGTTGCTTATATCGACCCCCATCTAAAGGACATCTTGGGGTTGTGCCATCTACTCTGAAACCACTGTGTTTCAAATGTGGGGTACCTCCCACAAGCCACAACGAATTCTCCATAAGCTCTTGATTTGGGGGGTCTCCCGATGAAAAATACATAAATTACAACCCCAATATCCCTTTCAGCACATCACATGAACGAACGCACAGACGGTTGGAGTAGTTATATAGTCTCGCGCTCCGCGGAGTGGGGCAGGACTGTTGCATGAACAGAAGCAGGCTTCAGGTAACATGTGGTTGGTTCCTTTTTGGGGGGGAGGGACAAGTAACATAGTAAATATGGACACTTTGATAATGATATAGCTAATCCGTCTATGGATGCTACATGATCTGCGTTGTTTAACAAAAATCAAGGGGCTGTCAAATCTTAAGTCTCTCTTTACGTGGACACTCCGGCTTTTGTGGTCTTAGTGATACGCTCATTGTGAGCCAAACACCAGGAATCACCACAACCATCCACAACTGTCATATGTCATGTGGAGAGTCACTGGCCACTTTGTCAATTCAACTTGGCAGGCAATGACGTCTTGCGGCTCATTCGTGACCGTCTACCAGCCAAAGAAGGCACCAAGATCGTTTTGCAGATTGGAACCGAGGTCCTTTCGCCCCGAAAGAGCCTGATTCAACAAGGCATTGTTGGAGAACGCGCACGTGTGACTTATGTGTATGTACCTGTTTGCTTTCGGACTGCCTGGAGGGTATTACACGGCTTGCCAGCAGATCCTCTCCTGGATGGAGAACGATCCTTTGAGTCCGAAAGAGATCCTTTGGACGCCTCAAATTGCTGATTATATAGATGTTTTTTGAATGCTTGTGTTTTTTTTGTTGAATCTCCCCTTGAAGGGATACTGGACATCCAAGCAGTTGTGGCATCTAGCTGTAACACGGTGTTTGTGTGTTTTATTCCCATCATGCCGTTTGAGGATGGTTTGCGGCAGGTGGAAGGGATCGAAGAGCGCAGGCAGTTGGAATACATGCCCAGCAGTTTGCAATCCCTGACCTTCGCTGACGATTTCAATGAGAGCTTGGAGGGCTTCTGCTGGCCCGATGGGCTTCGACAACTGACCTCTGGTGTTGAGGTTGATCAGTCGTTCAAGGGAGTGCAATTGCCGAGGAACTTCGAGCACCTGAGGTTTGGCCGTAGTTTTAACCAGAGTTTGGAGGGTGTGACTCTGCCGAGAAGCCTTCAGTGCCTAGCGTTCGGAGACCAGTTTAACCAGAGCTTAGATGGTGTGATTCTGCCCAACAGCCTGCAAAGCCTCGAGTTCGGCAGAGCCTTCAACCAAACCCTTTTCGGAGTGACGCTGCCCAACAGCCTGCAAAGCCTCGAGTTCGGCAGAGCCTTCAACCAAACCCTTTTCGGAGTGACGCTGCCCAACGACCTTCGAAGATTGACATTTGGCACACATTTCAACCAGTGCTTGGAAGGAGTTCATTTGCCCCACGGCCTCCAACACCTTGTCTTTGGTGATGACTTTGACCAGAGTTTGGACAGGGTAGCTTTGCCCCAAAAGCTTCAAAGCCTTACATTTGGTCACGGATTCTATATCAACCAGACTTTGGAGGGCGTGCTCTTGCCCAGCAGTTTAAGGAGTTTGACTCTTTCACCGTGGCTAGACCGTGAAGTTACGCGTCATATGCTCGTGCTTCCTACTTCAGTCTTGAAACGAGCGAATCTGCCCAGCAGCTTGCAGAGAATGGTCCTTGCATTCGAAGTGGATTGTGATCAAGATGAAATTACTTTACCGAAAAGCTTGCAGCACCTTTCCATTGACAAAGAGAGCTTGGAAGGAATCACACTGCCTGGTGACCTTCTGAGTCTCAGTTTGGGAAACCTCTCTCAAAGACTTGCGGACATCACTTTGCCAAGCAACCTCAAAGACCTGGAGTTTTACAACGTGGACCAAAGTTTGGAGGGTGTCATTTTGCCAAGCAGCCTTCAGAAACTAGACTTTGGAGTTAAGTTCAACCAAAGTTTGGAGGGTGTGATTCTGCCCAACAGCCTGCAAAGCCTCAAGTTCAGCAGAGACTTCAACCAAGCCCTTTTCGGAGTGACGCTGCCCAACAGCCTGCAAAGCCTCGAGTTCGGCAGAGACTTCAACCAAACACTTTTCGGAGTGACGCTGCCCAATGACCTTCGAAGATTGACATTTGGCACAGACTTCAACCAGTGCTTGGAAGGAGTTCATTTGCCACACGGCCTCCAACACCTTGCTTTTGGTGATAACTTTAACCAGAGTTTGAAGAGGGTAGCTCTGCCCCAAAACCTTCAAAGCCTTACATTTGGCTTTTTTTTTGGCCAGAGCTTAGAGCGAGTTTTGTTGCCTCGTAGCCTTCAGCATGTCTCGTTCCACTGCCAGAGTTTGAAGCAAGCCTCGTTGCCGGACAGCCTTCAGAGTCTCCACTTGGGCGAACAATTTGAAGAACCTTTGGGCCAAGCTTTACCCAGCACCCTGCAAAGCCTGAGCATTGCTCCTGACCAATTCTGGCCTAACAACTACATGTTGCAAAGGGTGCAAACGATTCTGGGCAGAACCAGGTTTCCTGGCAGTCTTCGACACTTGCGTGTCGGAAGACTGTTCTTGAGCGCTGATTAAAAGGGCAAAGAGTTGTTGGTGTGGCATGGGTGTGGAAGCTTCTGCCAGGGACTCCCTGGCCCTGGCTAAGGCGCCAAGCGCTCCCACCTTGTTTGAAGTCCCTAGACCTGTCTATAGAGTAAACTTATGCAACATGGATCATTAAAGACCTGTAGCCTGTAACTCTGTAACTCTGTAACACCAGAAAGATATGGTAATTTGTATGTCATGGGTTTCAACATCTTGGCATGCTCAGATGTCTAGTCTCGGCTCAGAGACATCGTTCTGTCGTCTTGGCTGCGACCCCCTGTCGTCCTCGTGTGGCGGATCGCCCTGGACTTGCGAGCCGTAGCAGGCCGTAGCACAAGTCGATCCTGATCATTCCTGGGTTTGCTTGAGGGGATTGGTTCGTTTGTGGGCAAATCTTAATTCTTATGTCCCGGTTCCTGAACAAGAAGCTAGTAGTAGCAAGTGCCTCGCTAGTAGTAACAGGTGCCTTACTAGTAGTAACAAGAAGCTAGTAGTAATAAGTGCCTTATGTCCCGGTTCCTGAACCGCAAAGTCGACCCCTCGATCTCATCGTTCGTCGACCCCTTCGATCTCATCATGGGTGGGTCCTCTGCGGCGGACGGTGTGTAGGGCCTAGGGAGACTCCCGCGGCTACAGACCTGGGACAAAGCATAAAACATCAGACATCAAACAAAAATACCGCAAAAGACATCCACATGTGCCCCAAAAAGCACAGGTTCAGGTCCCTTCCCCTAAAAAAGAACACACACACACAAAGACATGTGAAAAGTAGTAAAGCACCCCCAAAAGCAACACCAAAAACAACACTTTCATCTCTTTTACAAACCCAAAAAACTCGGCCTCCTCCGACGTAGGTTTGCAGGTCGTGTACTTGACGCCCCAGTCCTTGGCCACGCACGTGTGGAACGCCTACGCGGAGCGAAGAGACCTCCTCTTCCAAGCCGACCAGCCCTCGGAAGGCATGAGATGGACGAAGGATGGGGGTAAGGATGCTTTACATGACGAGAAGCAGCTCAAATGTGATCAAGATCGCGTGTTTTTGTGTTTTTCTGCACTAGGTTTGGTGTGTTGCAGACCTAAACGTTAGATGCATTTCTCCAATTCGGGTCATGCAGGAAACGCTTGTACTAGAGACCCTGTACAAAAGATCTCTAGACTCTACAACCGACCTTTGTGCATTCCTTTGCGTACGATTGGGATGTCACAGTGGCTTTACACATATTTATCCATTCTGTGTGTTGTTTCAACATGGACTACGTGGGAGTATCATGTCCAATATCATATAATGTATTATATGTATATAGTTACTATATTAATACTATATGTTATTGTGTTCCATGTCCTTGATTGTGTGTGGAAAGGCGGATGAGTCTCGGTGTGGAGACCGTGGAGACATGTCTCCTATAGACCCTTAAGGCCGCCCACGCTGTTTGTGTGAAGAAACCTGCGCAGGTTTCTTCGGCCTGTCGGATGAGCACTTTGTCCCCGTGGCCTTTCCACCCGAGGGCAGCGGCTGTAACAAGTCGGAGAATGCGTATCCCACTGGTGGCTTGAGCATCTGGGCACAAGTGGGGTGAGCCAACAGCCAAGGGCCTGGCCTTGATTGGGCATGCCCTCATTGGGCATGCCAAGCACAGATAGGGATAGGGAAGCGGAAGACGAGATTCGAGATGTTCCAAGACATGTTCCAATTTCCTCCAGCTTTGCCAGGTTAAGTCAAGTTGGCCTACACGTCAACCATGTGGATAATGTTGCGTTGGTTCTTTGTTTGCTTGATGTTCATGCATCTCATGAGATAGCAGGAACCAGAGCTATACAGACTCGAACATGTCCCTACATTATGCCTTTTCAACCACCCCAACTGATTGGTAGATATGCCAATCCGATGGAATGTTGGGAACTTACGTCCCCCAAGACCTTTCAGGAAGTAGCTGCTCGGAGCTAAGAAAAACGATTTGTCAAGTTTGCCCTGTCCGACTTCATGTTCCCAACATTTCCCAACATTTTGATCTATACCCAGACACTCCGTGTATAGAATATTTGCCTAGGTTGACCCCTCAAACCACTCCAATGTAGGTAAATATGCCAGTCCCACGGAGTGTTTGGCAACATACGTCCAGGTTTTTGTTTGTTTTCCACCGATTGGGGGTCGCCTCTTGGGACAGGCGCCGACCGACCAGATCCGCTTCGGACACCCGAAGCCCCTGTGAGCCGCCCCGAAGCCCTGTGATGGGACGCGGCCGAACCGCGGTCACCCGTGTTTTGGTCACCCGTGTTTTGGGGCATCCAGGAGTCATTCTGGGCGTCAGCCCCCTGGGCTCCCAGGCTGCGAGCTAGGAGCCACTGCACTCTTGAAAGTGGTCTCCCCTTCGCTGTGGGAAAGCCCTGACGCGCGGCGCTTTGCCACCGTTTTCAGCCTCACTCGGGACACCCGGCGACGGAGGGAAGAGGGGCTGATGAGCGCTGAAGGCGCCTTGCGCGTGGGGACCAGCAGAGTTGAAGAAGAGAAGGGCCAATCCCATGTGAGAGATTGAAATAACCCTGCGCTCAGCAGTTTAGTATTGGCATGCACCTTAACACACTACTAATGCATTCCTACCCCAGAAAACGATAAGAGTAAAAAACGATAATAATGATTATACCTGCACATCTCATGGGTTTCAATCTATCCCATTAACAATAGATAGATAGGTAATGTTAATGGAAGAGTTGACTATCCTCCTCCTACACTCCCCCTGCTTAAGGAAGAGGTGAGAACCTAGCTTTCAAATCTCACCTTCCATTCAGTAACCGCGCTGACTGGGCTGTTTGGTCCATATGCTGCCAGTACATGAACCGCAAAAATGATGAAAATGGCAACCTGCAGAGATGTCCGGAACGATAACAAAACGATAACGGAAACGATAAGGACATGTAGCAAAAAAACTCCCCTGGTGGGCAAGTACCCATTTGACAGTTTTCATTAGACCTTTTCAAGGGCAGAAGTGTGCGGCGCGGTAGTCTTGTTGAGTGGAAGTGAGTTAGGAGTTGCTCTAAAATTAGATGAGGACCCTGCACAAAGTCTCGAGAGGATCCGAGGACCCTGCTAGTCCGGTCTTCCTAGACCTGTCCAGCATGAGAAAACAGGCTGCATGTTGTTAGAACATCCTCTCCATGTGAAAACATTGTGAAATTCCATCTCTGTAGAGTTGGTGTTTTTGTTCTTCCATTTGCAGAAGGTCAAGAGCATGTTGCTCATAGCGGTACTTGCAATCCTAGAGTTGGTAACACGTTGGTAACTGGAGAAAACCGATTCCTGTCAAGATGCTTCGGGAGGATCTTCCAGATTTGCTTAATTATAGCCTCCCTCCCACCGAGGCTGACTATGATAGCTTGCTGACGACGACACGCCTCTACAGAGGCAACGCCAGTGCTGCTGCCTGCGCCTGGTTGCTTCAAATCGGCCCCCAAAGGCACAGCGAGATCTCCCTTTGGACGAGCGCTGGAGTGTCTTTTTGTTGGGGGGCTGTTGGGTCTTTTTGGTGGCCTGTTTCGTGACACATGAGACAGGCATCTACCATCTCGTAAAAAGTGAACAAGAATGTCATCAGAATCTTACACTATATACATACCTGCATTCTCCGGCCGCTGTTTGAAAAAAACAGTTCCTCCTGAAAAGACAGTAATTAAACCATCCTGGGAAGTTCCAGGTATAAATGAGCCTGGTTCTTCAAAGTGACTCTTTCAAAAAACTGGTTGGGTGAAGGTCACAAACAAACCTGTCAGTTCGGTCACTTGCACGGCGACTCCAAAAGGGTCACGTACGGAAGGTTCTCGAGTATAATGGAGTATAGTATGTGTGTTTGTGTTCGTTGGAATATCATTTGTATAACTATATAGTATAGTATATGGGTTTACGCCCCCGGAAATAAAGGAGAAGTCCATGAACATGTCCACCCCCGTTAGCTCCGGCTCAAAGGGTGTTGGTTGATGTGGGGGCACTCGCCCGCGTGCCGGTGTGGCGTCTGCCTGACGCTGCATCGGCTGTGCGCCCACATCTCGGACTTCACTCGTGAGCCTGGGTATATCGCATTCGCGTCCGACCGTTTGAGAGTGGCGGCGGGCGAGTTGTGTGACTTCATCGACTCTCGACGGCGTGATCAGGGAGCTGGTGCGGCATCACCGGCGACCGGACTCCTCCCAGGGACTGGTGCAAGGGAGTCTCAGGGAGTTCAAGGGCAAGGAGGACCAGGAACTGAACAAGCCAAGGAGGAGCACGCCCGAGAGCCCGAAAGAGAAAGGTCATCGAAAAGGAGCACTGTAGAGGTCAAGAACGAAGGAGAGGAAGAAGATCTGCCCGATAAGAGAGAGGAGAGCTTAGACCAGTCGGAAAAGGACAGTCATCCCAGTACAGCCCCGAAGAGCCAGCCTGGTCGAAGAAAGACGGAGAGATCGCCTTTGCCCCGCAGAGAAGCCAAGAAGGAATCAGAGGAGGAGCTGGAGGAGAGTGAACGGGAGTTTGAGGCAGAGCTCACTCCTCACGAGGAGAAGAAGTCAGGGAGAAGACCATCAGGCGAGCATAAGAAGAGTGAAAGGGAGAGGGAAGGAGAGACCACTCCTCACTCAGAGAAAAACCAAAAGAGGAGGCGGAGAACCAGGAGCCGATCGAGAAGGAAGAGACGCCGAAGCCCTAGCAGAGAGGGTGTTGAGAGAGAGGTTCATCACAGAAATCCGGGAGGAGCTTCATCAGCATCAAAGCGTGAGCCAAAGCCCTCACAGCGTCCCACCAGCGACCCACCTGCCAGGTTGAGACCGAGGTCACCGTCTCATCCCCCACCGTCCGGGCGAGGAGGTGGAGGTTATTGGTCAGGGCAAAACTACGGTCGAGGACGAGGTTATTACGGGGGCTCAGATTGGAAGAACAAAGGGGTGAAGAAGGTGGAGACACAGAGGAGTTTCAAGGCCTTCCTCGCCCACCGAAAGGAGCACCTGGGGTAGGTGAATGGCACCCAAGAGAAGACCAGCCGCAGACGTGAGAGTTCGTGGAGATCGTCGTGTTCGAGTACGGCCAGCCGCAGCGGAACCTCCTGAGGAGCCCGACTTCTCAAGGGGAGGACTGGTGGAGGGGCATCGGGTGACAGTGGGAGAGCTGACACCTGGCACCAAGATCTTTGCGGAGGCCACGTATTGGGACAGGCCAGTGGAGGTTGCAGGTGAAGTCATTGGAGTCTCCTTGGTGGGAGGCCAGTTGGAGCTGAAACTGCAAGCTGGGGGGACGCCCGACGAGGGCCTCCTCAAGTGGCTATCAGGGCAGGAGGACAGATGTCTTCGGGCCCATCTATGCACATCGCTTTGCACGAACAGCCCGGTGGCCGACGACTACATACACTTGAAGAAGTTGAGGAAGTTGGAGGTGGCCCCACCCGCATGGGGCGAGAACCTGAAGGAGGCGGCAGAGAGCGAGACGCTCAGAAGGATGGCGGAAGAGTCCAGCAGGAGAGACAGAGAAGCACGAGGGAAAGGAGTAGGCGGAGGTCGAGAGCCTGCAGCCGGAGGAGAAGCCGCCCCCGAAGAGTTGAGCAGTTCGAGCACGAGTTCATCAAAGAAAAAGAAAAAAGGAAAAAAGAAGAAGAAAAAGAAGAAGGGCAAGGCATTCAAGGTGCAGGGAAAGAAGGATTTGGCAAAGGTCTTCGAGTTTACAGGACTCGACCCCAAGCTCAAGAACCGCAAGAAGGTGATGAAGCGTGCACGAAGAGCCATGAAGCATCGCTCGAAGGAAGACAGCGGGGACTCCTCGTGCACCAGCACGGAGGGGAGTTCCAGCAGTGGAGACGAGGCCCACCTGTTCGAGGAGACGCACAAGATCAGGAAGGCTGCAATGAAGGGGCCTGGCGCCCTTTCGGCTCACACCATAGCGAGTATGTCCCGGTCCCTGCTCACGCACCAAGGCTTGCCGATCGAGATTCAAGATGGTCCGGTACCGTGCATTGCCCTCCAGTATCACAAGCAAGTTCTGTCGCAAAGGTTATCCCCGCCGTTGTGCAGAGAGAGCTTGAATCTATGTGCAGCCACGGACGCCATTTTGAGTGGGCAGGTGGCGCTGGGGGTAGACATACTCCTTCAGCGGTTGAAGTCGGTCGAGAGCTTGGGAGGAGGTCAGTCATGGGCAGCGTCACAGAAGTTGGAGTTGGCACCCCAAGAGGGGGTACAACTTGCAGGCGTCGAGGAGAGCAAGACGGCCAACAAAGAGCTGCGAGAGGAATTGAAGAATCGACAGGCCACGCAAAGAACATGGGGGAAGAGTGACAAGGGCAGTTCAAAGAGCAAACAAGAGGAGGCAAAGGGGAAGACCAAGAAGGACAAAGGAGGAGGCAAGGACAAACACAAGGGGGAACGGGAGAAGGAGAAGTAGATTCTCCTCCCCCATACATGACAGAGGCTGAGGTTGAGGCAGAGCTCGAGGAGATGGCAAGACTGGCTTCGCATGGGGCAGAACAGATCTCAAGAGTGCAGACAGATGACCTACTACAGTTGCAGATGCCGGATGGGAGTGGGAGACCCTATAACCACTCCTCGGAGGCCATTTTGGCCAGTACAGTGCCGGATGAGGATGCCGCCTCGGAAGGCAAACCTACAACCAGTCCGCTTGAAGAGCGAAAAAAGGAGTTGGGAGCGGGCGGTTTTCGTTTCGTCGACGTCGTGGGGGACTTGACCAGGGACCTGTCACCTTTTCTTCGCAAGACCTTGACCAAGGGGGAGGTGTTTCCACTTCCCTGCGGCAGCTCCCTAGCTGGGCCCCCGTTTGACGTGTTGGAGACCGAGGTGAGAGAGGTTTTGAGAGGCATGGTGATGGCTCTCAACAGTGTGTATGATTGTGGTCCGCCCTTAAACCAACGTGTTTCACCATTGCATGAACGTATTCTTTTTCAGTTGAGTGAAGAGGCCCAGAGGTTCGTGAGCAAGACGGGAAAATTTGAGAAACTGTCGTGGCAAGACTTCCTTCGAGTGAGAAGCGTGGATTACAAGGGAGACGAGGTCAAAACCGCCCAGAGGACTTCGTGGGCACATGTGGCACCTGCGTTGCCGGAAGAAGTAGGCACAGTGGACTTGGAGCAAGTTGTAAGTGGAGGATGTTTGCACTATGTTCAGAACTTCACTCAATACTTGGTCCCCGAAGAGTCCCAGGTTTTCACAAAGGCCCCGAAGGTGATGATAGCGGACGAGGAGTGGGATTGCATGTGTGAGGGTCTGATGCAGCGAGGTATTTGTGGAGCCATTGCGGAGAGCCAGATCCATCATGTGCAAGGCCGCCCGCTTTTAAACGGGATGTTTGGCGTTTTGAAGGAGGAAACGGCGCAGGGCCGAGAGGTTCACCGGCTGATCATGAATCTGGTGCCTCTTAATAAGCTGTGTAAGGGGATTGAAGGCGACGTTTCAACTTTACCTGCTTGGCCCAGCATGGGCTCCTTTTTTCGTAGATTCCCTTGTGTGTCTCCACTGTTTGGCACGGGGGAGATCCAGCAGCCGCAAGCTCCGAAGAACTCTGCTCCGAATAAACGCGCTTCTCCTAGCCTCCGGAACGCAAGGCCTGTGGGCATATGTCCACACGGCACAAAACCCCGCGGACGCCCCCAGCAGGCGTCCTGTTCGAAAGAAATGGCTAAAGTAAAACGGCCAATGTTAGAAGGAGGCTCACGGGAGGAGCGTAAGAAGCAGAGAGCAGAAATGGGAAGTTTGCATTCACTTACTGTGCAACCGCGCACTAGGGAACGATACAACAGAGCACTAGAAGGTTTTGGGCATTCCTCAGAGATGAAGGCCGAGCAGTGCCTTACAATCACGCCGACCTTGACCTGTTACTTCAGCAGTACATAGAACATCTATGGACAGAAGGATTTGGACGTGCGCAAGCAAGTGATACCGTTGCCGCACTTCAAGACGCTCAACCACAAGTCAAAGGGCATCTTCGCGGCACCTGGAGGCTCCTCAAGGCCTGGAGCATGAACGAAATACCGAATCGGGCGCCACCACTACCAGAGGAGGCACTTCAGATGATGGTAGGATATGCCTTCTTCAAAGAGCAGTATAAATTTGGCTTGTCCCTCCTCGTGGGTTTCTACGGGACCCTGCGCACGGGAGAGATACTCAGTCTCTGTTCTTCTGACGTTAGCATACATGCCGTACAAGGACCTGCTGTTCTTTCCCTTGGCCTTACCAAAGCTGGCAAACGACAAGGAGCCTCAGAAAGTGTCACCTTGACGGTGGAGGAACCCCTTCGGTGGCTGCATGCTTGGAGCCAACAATGTGAGGTTCGTAGCCAGCTTTGCCCGTCTCCCGCCAAGTGGCGTCAACTCTTTAATGAGGCTGTCATGGCTCTGGGTTTTGAAGAGTTGGGCTTTCGCCCTTACTCCCTCCGCAGAGGGGGAGCCACGTTTTTCTTTCAAAAATGGGGAAGTTTAGACCGCCTCTTGGTCTATGGTAGGTGGCAGGCTGCCAAAACAGCCCGCACATACGTCAATAGTGGACTTGCTGCACTGGCAGAGATGAACCTGCCGCGCACGACAGCTAACAAGCAATTTAGGGCCATCTTTTTGAATTCAAAGAAACGTTCAGTGCCGTCGCTTGAGCCTACCCCGAGAGGGGGTAGGGCAGGGGGCGGTGGAAAGAAGAGTAAACGGAAAGAGAAAGAGAGAAAAGATCGTGAGGT